CCCCCACATATGTCATGATATTCAATACTTATACTCGAATTATATAGTGAAGATGTTCGATACGAGAATAAACACTTCCCTTCCCTATGAAATCAATATATGGCTGAATGTTTACTATCGTCTTGTGCTCGTCTGACTTTGATCAAATATTAAGAATACATAACATCATAACAACATACACACACACTCACAAACACACAACAAATTGCTAATCACTAACCTGGAAGTCCTCTAAATCATTTTGCGCCGTCTTAAGCTGTGAATCGATGACCTTGGCCTTCTTTTGGAGACTCTCCAGTTCCTTCTTCTGAACCTCCTGGTTCTTCTTCTCGTCGGCCAGAGCCTCCTCTATGTCCAGCCTCTTGTCTCTCAGGGAGCACGTGTCGTCATACAGTTTCTGAAAACATCAATTTAAAGAGAATTTTTTAAAAGTTTAAAAGTACTTCAAAGCAAGTTACACTTTGAAAGAAATCCTTTTTTTGTATAGAAAAAAATTTAAAAGAAAAGAACGTACTGGCCATTCTACGATTCCTTAACAGTATCTGTATGCCCTGTGGTCATTTTGTAACCCCAGGGTTGTATTCTTCACATTTTAGAATACTCCTAGTGTGAAGATCTCTTTGAAACTTTCAGTATTTCTCAAAAAATCATTTTGAAAGACTGCTATGCAAAGCGTACGGATCAGATTAACCAGTAAATTTCCTCTTTGGAAAATGGTGGCACAGAGTTCCCCACGCTGTATGGATAGGATAGTAAAACATGACGTACGGATAGGGTTAAGTTGCGGGTCCAAAAATTTGAAAAAAAGAAGTTAAAGGCAGGATCTAAAGACAAGCACAAAAAGAAAAGAAAATGAAATTTGAAGTAATTCATGGACAAGCAGAAATGTGTATACCTCTAAATTGATAAATGGATTGATGAGCAGAGCAATAGACATACAGCTTGAATATAATATGAGAGCTAGCGAGGTGAAATCAGGCACTCATCAAAATAATGAAATAGAAGAAACTGGCAATTTTAATTGAATTTCTGTTTTTCGGTTTAACACCACTGTTGTCAAAAAAAGAACACATTTCTGTGAGGATTTTAGAGAAAAATGTTTATTCAAAGCACAAAAAAGTCAGTTTTCACGGACAATCAAGCTATGGAAATAACCAAACTTCGGCCTCCATTTTCTTGCTAATTTTACCTTTGACACCAGGCGACCTCACCTACTTCAATCTAAAATATCTCAACTTCTATACAAGATAGATGGGAATTTTTTACAGCGGTGGCAAGACAACTAAACAAGCTTTAAGATGATACCAATAAATCCGCATGCACAAAAATTAACGAGCGCCTGAATCCACCATGTCATGACACATATATATATAAACACAATAATACATGTCACAGAGTGGTGGAATCAGATGCTCGTCCGTTTTTGGACATGTGGAGTTATTGATATCAATTTAAAGCTTGTTCATTTGTCTTGCTTTGGGTGAGAAAATGTTCATTTATCATGAATCGAAACTTAGATATTTGTGATTGAAGGAGGCGGGGGTCATCTGGTTAGGAGGTTAAATTAAAGAGAAAAAGGTAGCCAAAGTTAGGCAACTTCTAAAGCTTGAGAATCCTTAGAAACTGCAAATTTACATTTTTTGTGCTTTTAATCAATGTTTTTTGGTATCATCCACAGAGAAATGTGTTTTTAAATGGACCTTAAAGGTGTTGAGCCGAAAAACAAAAATTCGATAAAAACTGCCAAACCGACAGAAAAATGTTAGTGTCTTGGATTTCATTATTTTGACAAGCGCCTGATTTCACCATGCTGCCTCACACACACACACACACATACATACATACATACACACACACACACACACACGCACACACACACACATATATAGGGCAAAGAAAGTTACCTGGTCACAGCCCGGCGGACACACATCAAGGTCGTAACCTCCAGCCTCAGATTCCGACTCCTCATCACTCTCCTCCCAGTCCGAGTCATCGCTCGACTCAGAATCAGAGTCCTCATCCGAACCTGGAGGATGAAGGCATTGCTGATGTTGGTTCTGACATTGTTGAAGTTGTTGTTGTTGTTATGGATGATGATGTACATGGAATGTAATCATTTTATAGTTTTAATGTCCCTTTCAATACTATGAGGTTGATATATGAGGCGGGACCTCAGAATTTCATGTCAATCTATTTTTGATAAGACCGAGCCGATTGGGAGGACAGCCTTAAATCTCCCTGAAACAACCAAAAATCAGAATGCCCCATTGGGGAATTGAACAAGGGCCAGCCACTCCTTCGTTCAGCATGATAACAATTTAGCTAACAGCGTGGCCATGATAATGAGGAAAGACAACAAACATGATAATAAAGATAAGCTCGGCACAGTTTGGTACACCATATCACTTGCTGCTGTCGTCTGTTTCGTTATGGTTCGTTAATCAAGCCAAGGAGGAAAAAATTTTAGCTTCTTTAGCAAAAAAACCAAATAATCTTTATATGTGTTGATAATTAAAATCTTTCAAAACACAGTTTTTTTCTCCACTGGCGGTATTTTTTTTTCTATGATTATACTGATGGTGATAATGATGACTGTTATGAGGTTATGTATTCTTGATATTTGATCTAAGTCAGACGAGCACAAGACGATAGTAAACATTCAGCCATATATTGATTTCATAGGGAAGGGAAGTGTTTATTTTCGTATGGAACATCTTCACTAATTCGAGTGTATAAGTATCGAATATATATCAAGACAATGGCTAGGGGAGGAGGGTTATAACAATGTAGATGATGGTAGTCTAAAGGATTACAACGAAGAAGATGTCAACAACAATGATGACATCAAGAGTGAGAGAGGGAATGAGGACAGCTATAAAGATAAGGAGTGATCAAGACAGTTAAGACAATAACAGTGATGATAACCATATTTTGATAACAAAGAGAGTGGAAAAAAAAAGAGTATGCAACAAAAATCAGTATCTAAAAATATTGATTTAAAGAAAAAAGAATAGTACGTTATTCCAAAGAAATGATAGAGAAGTCGCAACTCGTTTATTCACCTTCTCCTTCCGTAGTCTTCTTCTTCGTCCTCTTCACTCGCTTCTTGAAGACTTTGGTGAGGTAATCGGCAAACTTGTTGTTCTCCCCGAGTGACTGAGTGAATGTGTTCATCAGGGCTCTCTCTTTCTCCTGCAGCTTCTCAATGTCCTTCTTCTTAGAGTCAATCTTGCCTTGAGACTCTAAGATCTGTCAATAATTTTAAAAAATAAAAATTGGCGGAACTGTGAAGGGAACATACACTCAGAAAACCAGCTCACAACATGACAAGACAAAGCCTGCGATGGAATTCAAAGGGGAGGAAAAAGAGAGGAAGGCTGAGATCAGGGAAACATACACTCAGAGAGCCAGCCCACAATTTGGCAAGAAAATTTTTATTCTAAGACGGAACCCCTAAAGGAGGAAAATGAGAGGCCGAGATCCATCTAGTTGTGAGATCTAGAGGCAGATCTCAGGCCTATGGGACACACTTGGCTGGAGGTGGAGAACATTGCCCTGAGCAGAGACGAGTGGAGAGCCCTTCTTTGTACCTATACCCAGTACCAGGTGAACGAGGCGAATGATGATGATGAGGTGAAAGGATGTTCAACTTGCGGAAAAATGTCTGTTTCTTTGATTTTGCTATTTGGACGAGCACCTTATTTCACCACTACTCCACCCATTTCACTTTGCACACAGTTAATGTGGGTGGTTGGTGGGTGCTCTGGTGTGGTTTGCTTCTTCTTTCCTATCAAATATCTGTCGTCCTTATCTCCCCTTCTTCTTTTTTATGTTCGTTACTCTCTTGTAACATCTCTAATCTTCTGGCGCTCATATGACCTTATGCAGTTGCGAGCGCCGTAAAACCCCTACTAAAACTAAACTAAACACAGTTAATGGCTTACAATAGTAGTAAAGTGTAAATAGCAAGCTGTAAAGCGCGGATATGCACTATATAAATGCAAGTATTATTATAGGTGACAAAAAGAAAGCCATGGATACACAGCTACGAGATACAGAAAGGTTTAACGAAAAGCACTGACCTTTGTCTGCATGTCCATCTTCTCCTGTTGTTTGTTGGCCACCTTCTCAGCCAGCGTGTCCTCACTCTTCTCATACTCCTTGAGCAGAACCAGCTCCTCAAATAGGGTCACTTGTCTGGAGAGATAGATGGATGGATGGATAGATGGATGCGTGGGTGCATGCGTGGATGGATTGATAGGTGGATGAATAGATGGATGAATGGGTGGGTAGGTGGATGGATGTTAGTAGATGTATAGATAGATACATGCGTGTCTATACAGAGGGGGAGAGAAAGAAAAGAAAGGAAAAAAGGGAGAGAGAGAGAAGGATAGAAAGAAAGCTAGACAGGGCGGCAGAGATAGAGATATAGATAGAGAGAGATAGAAACAGAGAGAAATATACAGTAGTCTCCGCCTAAACGCACGTCACACAAAAGCATGCTCCGCTCAAACGAATGCTTTCGTCTTCAGATGGTTCTTTTACTACATAATTTAGACGTACAAACACACGTTCACTCCTTCTAAACGTACGCTCCAATCCGTGAAACATGCCGGTACATTTGTACATAGGTCTAAGACTGGTCGGTGAAATGTTGGGGGGTTGGGGGACAGAAATGTTATTTAATTGGTCACTGGAAATGCATCTTTAAGATGAGAAGGTTTCTGACCGGTGTTTGGGTGACTGCATGTGTGCATGCTCGTTCATGAATTTACGGTCGGGGGTGGTCGCTTGGAAAGCCACGTGTCTGTGCCGTAGTCTCTGTGACTATCTCCAACAGTTTCCTCTTACACTATCTGTTCCCGACATTTTAGGGTGCATATCATTACATTGAGTCTGTATTTCTTAACCCCCCCCACCCCACCCCCCCTCCCCCCACACACATACACACACATTCAACACCTTTGTATTCTTAACTGCAATCGGGGAATCCTTCACAAAACAGTCACGTGTTGTCACATTATCAGCCCAAAGTGACCCTCACCCCATCCCAAAGGGAGGTCACTAGAATATCAAGGCAATGAGATGACTGCGTCCCTTCCTCCCTTTGCAAAGGTTCATGTAAACGCACGCTCCGTATAAACATACGCTGAAGAGCCCTCCCGAGCACCGTGCGTTTAGGCGGAGACTACTGTATAGAGAGAGAAGTTGCAGAATGTACAATATTACAGGGAAAGCAGCAACTCTCTATATAGCCTTAGCATTATCTTTTGTTATTTTACCTGAGATCTGCATCCTTCATAACGATGTCCATGCGGAATTTGTCATGTCGGATCAAGCGCAGCTCTGCATCAAATTTCTTCACAACTTCCTGGATATGGTTGAGCAAACACGTCTGCTCATAGGCCAATCTGGAAACAAAAGAGTATCCAAGGTGAGACAAAGCAGACACTGAGACAACACAATACTGCCATAAGCTGACAAAACGCCTTTTTTTTTTCATTTTGGCGCCAAAGTTTTTTATTTCCTAAATCGAAAGTCTGACCAGTAATCTTACTTGCGTTTTGAAAAAATCAAAGTGAAACTGTGACTAGTTCTTCAATAAAATTAAACTTAAAATTTCAGAATCACTCTATTTCTAAAGGGTTACACAGACAAAAAAACTTTTTTCTCAAAACTGCTGTGTAGGAAAAAACAAGGCATTTTGCCAGCTTACAGCAGAATTGTATAAATCATTTAAGTAGTCCTAACAGAGATAGCAATCATCGGGGTTTAAATCATTTTGGATGTATACAAACGTCATAGTTTCACAGAATTTCTCTTGAATTGATTTTCAGATACTAATGTGAGGCATTGTGGTGAAATCAAGCATGCGTAAAAAAAAATGAAATCAAAGAAACCAGCATTTTTCTGGATGTTGGGCAATTTTTGTCTAATTTTCTTTTTTTGACGCAACAATGTGAAACTTGTGCTCACAGGGGGTGCGTGAACCACCTCTCGGGGAAATATTGGTGCTCAAAAATGCTGCGTGAACCCTCTCCAGTGAGTAAATAAGGCTGAGCACCTAAAGTGACACTAAAAACAACTTAAAAGTGACACACCCCCCCCACCCCAAAAAAACCCACAACCCAAAACAAAACATAACACCCTCACCTAATCTGTTGTATCTGATAAATTTCTCTCTCAAGAGGAGACATGGCATCTTCTTCCTCTTCTTCTCCTCCTTCTTTCTTCTCCCCATCTTCTTCTTTTTCTTCCTCTCCTTCCGGCTGGCTTTTGTCCACAGCACTGAGAGTGGACTGCTGCTTGACCGGAGGGGGGGACACAGCGGTGGGCTGAGGACAACAGAGAGGTAGAGATTTGTCTTTGCTTGTCGATGGTATTCGGCTCTAACTTTTACTGAGTCATTGGTTTCTGAAAATTTGTTCATATGCAGGGAAAACCACAAAAACCCAGCAAATAAACCCTTCTGATTTAAGTAAATGAAGGTAAAAGACCCAAAGTTTAGCCCGCAGTACTTTCATACTTTTAACAGAATATTGGCGACTTATTTTGGGGTTTTTAATTTTTTGCAACCTTACTGCAACCCTTAAGGTAACCATGGATTTTGTACAATAGGTTCAACAGTTTGAAATGCAGGTGGGGGTGGGGGGAGGGGGGAACTATAAATTTGAAGCTTGATAAGGCTTAGCACTTTAAAGGATACATAAAAAAAAAAAACTTAACAGTGATAACCCCCCTTTCCCACCCCCTTCCCCAAAAGAGAAAAAAACCCCCCTCATCTAATCTGTTGTATCTGATAAATTTCTTTCTCTAGAGGAGACATAGCATCTTTTGCCAACTCACCTGTTTCTCTGGGGGAGGGGGCGCGCTGCTGTCTCCTCCACCTCCTCCAAAGCCAAAGCCGAACCCTCCCTCCTCTCCATCTCCTCCATCTCCTCCTCCTCCTCCTCCAGTCTTCGCCTGTTTCTGCTTGACCTCGTACTCAATCTTGAATTGTTTCAGTGTATCTCGCGTGTACTCCAGAACTCTGTGGAACAGAGAGGTTCAGATGACGTAAAAACAAATACCCCACAACATAACATCATGTAATGGAATATGGCAACAAAAAATGTAATGAAAACGTCATTGCTGACATGCAACTATTCCTTCTTAAAAAGTTTTCTTTCAAAATGTTAGTCAAGTGTGCAGACAAAAACAGAGTTGAAGTCTCCCTTCTTCAAATAAATTAAAACCAACTTCACTTTTAATAACCATATTTGAAATGTAATTTTGAAACCCTCCCCACCCCCTTCCCCCCGTCCCCCCTACTCCCAAATCCCCCACATCTTCACCTCTCCGGCATCTCCTCAGGGTGCATCTCTGGCACAGGTGGGATGGGTCGGTGTTTGCTGGAGTCCAGCTTCTCCTGGATGTCCCGTAACTGGGTCACGACGTCCCGGATCTCCTCAATGACCCGAATCTTCTTGTCTCTCAGAGCCAACAGGCGGACGTTGAAGTCATACTTGTATTCGTGGATCTTGAGGGATAATAGATGGATGGATGGATGGAGGGAGGAAGGGAGTGAGTGAGGGATGGATGGACGGTTGGATGGATGGATGAGGGGAGGGGGGGAGCGAGTGAGGGATGGATGGATGGATGGAAGGATGGATGGACGGATGGATGAACAGACAGGTAGGTAGGCAGGCAGGTAGGTAGGTAAGAAGGTAGGTAGGAACGTAGGTAGGAAGGAATGTATTTATCATGTGTATCATGTACATACCTACATACATAGGTGGGTGGGTGAGTAGGTAAGTAGGTAGGAAAGGAAGAAGAACAAGAACAGGTACAAGAAGAAATAACAACCCCCCCCCTTCCCCCCCAAAAAAACATGGCGGTACTTACCATGTCCTTGATGGCCAGGAGACGGCCACGAGCTTTCTCCACATTCATCCTCAGGTGGTCGGGCACGACATAGTCCAGGGCTGTCTTCAGCTTGTAGTCTCCCATGTTTTCTTGTGCCTCACGGATCGCTGCCACATCCTGAGGGTCTTCGTAATCGTCATCTGGTTTGTTGCTGTTTAGTTCTTCCCACTTGACATTAAAAATATGAAAAATAATTATACATTCCGCCTCTCAGACACAAAATTGTGAGGAAAAAAGGGAAAAACAAACCCGCATCAGTGGCATAACGATATGGTTTTTCATAATGCATATAAAGAATATATGTGAGATGTGCTGACAAAATGAGTTACTTCTAAAGACCCAAGAATGGAGATATCGGCTGAAAATCGACACTGGGGTCAGATTTATAAATTTTCAATTGATGTCATTTTGTTCAAATTTACTGCGTCTGTAACTATTCCATGTTCACAAACTGTACAAACTTCACCTACCAAGTTGATGTATCAATTTCCATAAGGCTGAAATCCGAGAAGTAACTCATTTTGTCAGCACACCTCACATATGTTCAATGCCAATACCAGAAAGAGATTTTATTAGAAGTCTCATTATCTCTACCGGGATTTATTCCGCACGGTCTGGACTGGCCCTAATACTAATAGCCGAGGTTGATGCAGCCTATCTCCCAAATGATTTAACCCAAAGGACCCCTGACACTGACATATCAGTGTGCAAGATATTTGCACCTGCCCCGAAACACCTATATATCGGTGTGTGCTAGTCTGCCATAGAATAGTAGTCCATACAAGGATAAAAAGAGGGAAAATGGCGTCAAAAGGACTTGAGTGTTCGTGGTAATTGTTGTAAAGGTCAAGGCAGCTCAAGAAAGAGGGAATTGGTTTGAATAAAGAAGACACACAGAGTTCATGCAGTGTGTAACCATGTAGGTATTTTTTTCTCAGGAATCCAGGGGACAGGTTATTTTGGGATCAGGAGGTCAGGGTTCATTGGGTTGAACTGTGTTGGTGAGGGTTTGTAAAAAGCAAAATATTGCTCACAAACAAATGACTGCCATCAGCTTACCAGAGCCCTGCGAGCAGCTCGTTTCTTTTTCTTTTCCTCCACCTTCTGTAAAGCGTTGTTGATCCTTTCTCCCATGCTGCCCTTCAGAGTAGTGGTGACCTTTGACCCAGCCACGCCCTCTACGGAGTCATCAGCCGCACCAGAACCATCAGCAGACTTTTTCTGCCCTGTTCAGGTCAGCAAAGTTACGAGAGTTAATTACAGAAAAGAAAAGAGTTTAAAATTCCACTTTTCGCATCGTGAAGAAAAATTGTTTTCACAATGATGTACTTTAGAAAAGAGAATTTTAAAAAGAGAATACGTGTTCTGAAAATTTCATCCTCTAAAGTATATGTCATTTACTGGAAACAGAAATCTCTTGGCAAGTCAGAAATATCGTTTTACATTTCAGTGCTGCAAAAGATTTAAAGTGTTGCAGCCAGTAAGGCACAAACAAAAACAACAGTGGTATCGGAAATTTTAATTTGACTTTTAAAATTCACGTTTATGAAAGAGATTAACACATTTTTTGGGTCCTCCTTGGAATTTTTTTCTTTGCAGCCAACATAAGACTAAGTCCTCCACTTTCAAAAGGACCAAATTTGTTCTTAAAATAAGTTGCATAGCTTTCGCAAAAGAAAAAGAAAATCTTCTCTGCAGGAGAAGGCTACCCACCTGGCAGCAATTCTCTCGTCGGATCCCTCGTGAAGTCATCTTTGGTCGGCAGTTTAGTCTTCTTGCGCTCAAATTCGGCTTTCAGCTGGTAGAAATCATCGGAAAGTTTTGATGCGCGGAAACTGGTCACTTGATGCTGAGAGCCGAAGGCTTTGACCACAATGCGCTCACATTCGACAACATCTTTGAATCTGTGGAGGCAAAAAGTCAAGACGGGCAGAGTTTAAACATCTGAAGAATACATGGGGAGGGGTCCATTTTGGTGACTTTGCAAAAATCTTTGTTTTAAAGTTTGGAACTGTATGACTTCAAAAGAAATTATTATGATCTCCCTTCCTTTTCACAAAAATTCTGTACTTTTTCTCTCTTTGAGATGCTACTTTATACTACGGTCACAAACTCCCTGTGGGGTCTAACTCAAAATGGCCAAAAAACTGTGACTGTCCGTTTCCAGGCCAACACCCTCTCGCCACCCCCACCCCTATCCCTTCCCTCTGTCTTTATTTCTATCCTCACATCCAAGTCTATTACCTTCAAAGCACAATACCTCTTTCCCCTTCTAAATGATCTAAATTGTATCTTCTTAGGGCACAAAAAATTTACAAAAATAATGACAACAACAACAACAACAATAGCAATTAAAAATCGTAATTACATTTTTCAGATGAAGTTATTTGTATACAGGAATGAGTATGGGACATCCTACTCTCCTTACTCCAAGAAAACCCAAACAACAAACAATCAAACAAAAAATAAAATTAACACCAAGTACAAAAAAACAACAACATCTACACCACAACAACCTCCGCTGTCAACATGACCATCACCACCACCACCACCAACAACCACAACAACATAACTCATCAGATGCTTCCATACCGCTTGCGAAGTTTCTCCAGAGAAATGCGCAGCCGCTCCGACTCCCAGGCCAGCTCTCGTCTCACCAGATCTTTCTTCTCCTGCGTGTGCTGTTCCAGCTCCTGCTTGATCTGCTTGTCCATCTCAAACTCCTGTGGGTGGACAGGAGAACAGCAGCACAGAGAAGGATGAGTCACTTTACAGTAAAGTTTTATTGTGGCATTCATTCTTATCCAACTCTTACACACTTCTTATCTCACTCCATAATCTTCTTTTTCTATTATTTCTTCTTCTTCTTCTTCTTCTTCTTCTCCTTCTCCTTCTTCTCCTTCTCCTTCTTCTTCTTTTTCTTCTTCTTCTTCCTCCTCCTCCTCTTCCTCTTCTTCCTCCCCCTCTCCCACCCAACCAAAGACAACTACAACCATCAAAACATTTTTGAGATGGCCAATGCCAGTCTCAAGTCTGTAAACCTAAAAGATTGCAGTACACCTTCCACCAAACCAGGTATCAGACCGGTCCAGTGGTAGACTGTCAGCTAAATCAGAAACATCACAGTCGAACATCACAGTCGACCTTCAACCAAACTAGCAACCACCATTTGATAAAACCTGGGACAGAAAGAGTTCATACTGACCATCCTTCCCAGCTGTAAGTGTTTGGGCATTCCCTCATTCTGCTCCAAGATGGTGCGGAACTGTCGGCGCAGTTGGTTGATCTGTTTGCGAACTTCTTTCTTCTTCTGTTCCGCCTCTTTCAACCTCTTGTCATGCTCCGTCTTTTGTTTGGCATCCTCAATGCTGAAATACAACACCACAATGCCTCAAGGATCATTTTTATTGGTGGTTGAACAACACTGCTAGTAGCTGTTATACAGGATTTGAACCCGTGTCTCTGGCATGTAATGACAAAGCACCTAAACACTACACCAAAAACACTGGAATGAGTTATGAAAATACGGAATTGAGAGTAAGATCTTATCTCCACAGCAACCTGAAAGCACTGTACTATTTCATCAGTAAGACAGAGCCCGGTCAGATATGAGGTCGGAAGAAGGTGGTAGCGATGGATTGGACATACTATCAGGAAGTCAGGCAGCTGCATAACAAGGAAGGCGTTGAATTGGAACCCAAAGGGTGAAAGATTAAGGGAAAGACCATGAGGAAACTGGAGAAGAGTCACAGAAATCTATGGACAGAAAATTGGGAAGACATGAAGTGACATCTAGAGGCTAGCCCAGGATAAGGAAAGATGAAAAGTGTTTGCTTGTGGTGAGAAAAGCTATGATGATGACGATGATGATTTTGCCAATGTGCATACCTGTAAGCATTAGGATCATCTATATCGTCCACAATCTTGTCTCTGTCCTCTGGTTTCTGAAAGTAGATAATGATGATGTCATTGATTGCTGGAATAGAAGAACAGTCATTGAGAAAAAGGAAGCGAGATGTGGAGACAATGAGTTTGTGTGAGTGAGAGTGCGTGGGTGTGAATGTGTGTGTGTGTGTTTGCATGTGTGTGTGTGTGTGTGTGTGAATGAGTGAGTGTGTGTGTATGTGTGTGTTGTGTGTGAATGCATGTGTGTGTGTGTGTGTGTGTCTGTGTGTGTTTGTGAGAGAGAGGGAGAGAGAGAAAGAGAGAGAAAGAGAGAGAGAGAAAGAGACTGAGACAGAGAAAACTGCTGCATCACATACGCCACTGTACAAGAAGTAAAAAAAAATCATAACAACAAAACTGATAATCAAACAAAACAAAAACGAGACCTCAGAATGCGGAACTCACCCTGGCAGAAGGCAGCTTAGCCTTGTTCTCCTTGATCTTCTCCTCCAGCTCCTCCTGTGACATGTAGGAGAACTGGAAGAAGTTGCCGTCCGCACCGGTCGTCAGCAGCATTGTGCCTGTGTTCATGACAGAGGGTTTGAGTTCAATTGTGCTACAAACACATACCAAATAAGAATTTAGAATGCCATTTGAATACAATTTGTTTGTTTAATTTCAGATAAAAAACAGAAAGAAAGAAAATAAAGACCGACTGGCGATACTCTTCAACCACCTAAAGAAATGATTTGAAAAATGTGTGTGTGTGTGGGTGTGTGTGTGTGTGTAAATTAAGAAAGAATTAATTTCACCCAGAACATAATCCAAGTAGCATAGTGTAGAAAGTGAACTGTGATGACAAATCTCTTCCTTATTCACCAAGAGAGTCAAATTGGAATCTCACTAAATAAATTTACATCTACTTTTCTTTAGCAACTGTAGCAACATTTTCATAAAATCATCTGCCAGCTCTCCAGATATACTATGCTCAATTTTATTTATTTTATTTTATTTTCAATTTTATAATCTATGGTATCATGTATTTGAGAAATATTTTGTCAAAATTCAGCCCCCAAATGATGAAAAAACAGAAAAAACAGAAGAGAAACATAATTTTGGAACAATTTCTAAAGGAACGAAAGTTTGTTCTCTCTCCTGAATAATTTTTCTTGGCTTTGAACATTTGAACAGCTTGCTGGGGGTATGCCCCTTACGTCGAATGCTCCTCATCAAGCCTTTTTTAAATAAAGGTCCCTTATGCTGCTGCTGCTGCTGCTACTACTATTAGATGAAGCACACAACTCCAAATGCTCACCAGTTCTATGCCATGTAAATAGAAAATGTGCTTACAAACACCCATACTTGTAGACACACAAACACACACAATGGATATGCACAATCACACAAGCATGATATGATCACCCCCCCCCCCCCCCACACACACACAAACACTCACACACAAAACCACTCCATCCTCACACACACACACCTGCACACAACACCCTCTGCTCACAGACACACACACACACACATACACACAGATGCATGTACACACAAACACACACCATCAACACACAAACATACACACACACACACATCCACCCTCCCCCGCACACACCACCACACATCAACACGACATACTCACCATCAAAGCTGGGAGCCACCGAGGTCACAAAACCGTAGTTGTTGTCATGCATGCTGAGCGTCCACTGCGGGCCCATCATGCTCAGGTCCCGTAACTCATCCAGCTGTTGGACTCGGATCTGACCATTGGCCATACCCAGGATGACCTGCTGACCCGAATTGCTATGGAAATGCACAACAGAAAGAATGCAAGCTGAAAATATCTTGGTTCATGAGGACAACTCTGACATGATAACATGCATCTCTGTCTCTTCTCTCTGTCTCTCACTCTCTCTCTTCCCTCTCTGCTTTCCTCTCTCTCTCTCTCTCTCTCTCTCTCTCTCTCTCTCTCTCTCTCTCTCTCTCTCTCTCTCTCTCTCTCTCTCTCTCTCTCTCTCTCTCCCCTCTGCTTTCCTCTCTCTCTCTCTCTCTCTTTCTTTCTCTCTCTCTCTCTCTCTCTCTCTCTCTCTCTCTCTCTCTCTCTCTCTCTCTCTCTCTCTCTCTCTCTCTCTTTCTCTCTTACTCTCTAACACAACCTTCATAAATTTACACTACACAAACGTCAACTTACACACACATACAAATAGACCAAGCTCCATCTGTATCCTATAGAGCGGATGGGCACAGACATACAGACAAGTCCAAATTTTAATAGTCCACACGATGCATACACAAACATTCACACACATAAAAACAATCTGAACCTGAACCAACCTTCATCTGTACTGTATGATGTGGACAGACATACAGACCAGACCATCACTGATTTATTTATAGAGGCACCAGACATACAGACACAAACAGATATTCACACCATGATTGCAGAAACATACAGACACATATAAAAAGTCCAAACCCCACCTCTAACGGATGACATGGTTGAACACAAACATACACCATGCATGCACAAACATTCATCACACATACACAAACATACAAACACACAAATGTGTCACTGCATGGTGGAATCAGGTGCCCGTCAGTTCTTGGGAGTGAGGCGTTACTGGTACTAGTGGTACTTCATTTGTCTTGCTATCGATGTAAAAATACCCATCTTTCTTAAATAAAAGTTGAAATATTTGCGATTGAAGGAGTTGGTGGTCGCTTGATTTCAGTGGTAAAATTAGCGAGAAAATGGCAGCCAAAGTTTGGCGACTTCCAAAGTTTGAGAGATTTTGGAATCTGAAAATTTATACTTTTTGGGCCTTCAATGTTTTTCTGTGAAATCCACTCAGAATTTTGATTAAAAAATTGTCAAACCTGCAGAAAAATGCTGTTTTTTTTTTTTTTAATTTCATTATTTTGACCAGAGCCTGATTTCACCACGATGCCTCACAAATAGACCAACCCCCACCTGTACCGTATGACATGGATGGACTCAATTTTAACCCACACCATGCATGCACAAACAAACATTCACCAAGCATGCATAAACATTCACCACGCATGCACAAACATACAAACACACACAAATAGACCAACCCCCACCTGTATTGTATGACATGGATGGGCACATCAGCCGATTCCATGACAGGGATAGATCTCAGGGGTTTCCCAATGTTGTCCGGCATCATTGTTGCCTCCTCTTCCGGCGAGGTGAACTTACACTCATACAGATAGCCGGCGTCAAACTCACCCTGTTCAGACAAAGAAAATGTAAATGCAGATAATTTACACCCACTTTGACACAGTTTAGATCATCTAGGAGGCCAACTGCTCTGACCCTGGAGTCAAGGTAAACTCAGACTGAGACAGATACAACGTCCCAGAGGGAAAATGGAGAAACTCCATTAAAATTCTTCCCATAGGTGAATTAAATCTGCATCTTCTGCCTGCAGTAGCGAAGCATTTATCCTCTTCACCACAGACATCAGGTCCTCGCCGAAGGAGATAAGCAGATATATTAAATAAAACAATGGTAGTGGTAGTGACAACAATATGACTGTTGTTTGTTTGTTTGTCTGTTCGTTTGTTTGTTTGTTTGTTTGAGGAAAGAGGAACACACAGACATAAAAAAGTCATTTAGAGCAGGTAGTAAAAATAAATCAGACAGACAGATAATAGATGGAATGAAAAGAAGTAGCGCCTACCAGTGGTTCCATTGAAGCACCCATCCCTGTCAGAGGTGATAGGCCAGTCAGTAATGACTATGATAACTGCAATGACAATGAGTGGAGTCAGTGGCCTAGTAGTTAGGCGACAGGACTCGCAACCATAAGGTCCTAGGTTCGAATCCCATCAGGGACCCGACGTTGTGTCCCTGGGAAAGGTCCTTTTTGTAATTATTTCCCTCACTTCATCCAGGTGGGATGAGTACCCAGCTATAGACGGCAATATTTCTTTTCAGATTGTTAGTTTTTGAGAGCATGCAGTTCACAGCTATTATTATTACCTATTAAAGACCATGATTGTGGCAGCTATACTCTACACTACCTTTCTGTCTGTCTCCCTCTTTCTCTCTCTCTATCTTTCTCTCCTTGTCCTCCACCTCTGCCTCTCTCTCTCTCTCTTACTCCACACACAACAGACACACAACCATAAACACACACATAAACACTCATATATACACGCACTACCCCTACCCTCTCCATCTTCCCACAATCCCTACTAACTACCACACACAGAATGACCCTCCCCCTCCAGTCCTTCACATCCATTCACAGAAGTACACCACAAACAGAAGTGTACAAACTGACCATGGACAGCCAAAAGCGACCCTCCTCTGTGCTGTACGAGGCATGCAGGACAGGGCTTGGATCCTCCGGGATGTAGGCCACCCACTCCTTCTGAGGGGTTTTCGGCTTCAGGTCAACTGGAAGTTAAAAAAAGAGAAAAATAAAAAAAATACAAATTCATTTATTCAGCACAAGTTTTAGGCTTCTACAGAAAAATATAAAGGGAATAGGAGAAAACGAATAAATAAATAAATAAATAAATATACATATAGATGAATGAATCAATGAATACATGAATGAACAAACAAACAAAAAAGTAAATAAATATGTAAACATGTAAATAAATGAATAAACTAATAAACAAATGAACGAATGAATGAATGAATGAATGAATAAATGAATTATAAATTCAATTTTGAGAAATAAATGTTTACAACCATATACATAAACATACACAAATTCAACACCACTATGACCTCATGGCAACCCCTGATGTGGTGCACTAGGCCGAGCAGAGCAAAATGGGGGGCTATACTTTATTTCTATCCATTTCCATAAGAAAGGAACAATATTACTTGCTCTTATCATGGCTCTCTAAATTTCCTACAAGAAAGAATTGTGAATAAATCTTTGACTCGACCGAGGAGAGAAAGCCTTTGTCATCTCTTCCAATAAGAATAATAATAGCAATAACTTCAAATAGAACAAAATAAGAACAAGAGTAAGAGTACCAGCATAAACAACAACAACAACAACAACAACAACGCCAAAAGCAACAACAATGGCAAAATCAACAATGTATACCTTCTTCATCTCCTTGCTCTGACTCAGTCTCAAGGCCTCTTTCAATTCTTTTCTTTCTCTCTTCCTCTTCTTTCTTCTTTCTTGCTTCCTCTTCAATTCTCTGACGTTCCAACTCTTCTTCATGCTGAAATTATGCATGAAAAAGTAAGATTGTTTCAGAAAAATGAAGACAATAAGGATTGGATCAGAATACAGTTTAAACTTACAAGACACAAACTTGTCTCAGGTAGTAAACCGCAAAAGAGGAACCTTCATACCTCCCCCCACCGTCCTCAAATTATCATTTACAACAACCTTCCTAACCTCATCTTCCATTTCAAAACTCTCGTCAAATCTCTCATGAAGTTGAAAATGACTTTCACTTTATTTTTTTTATTTTTCAAACTTTGCCTGACAAAGCTACATGATTCATTTCCCACTTTCTAACTCAGCCCAGTGATAAAAATCTACATTTTTCAAAAAATTCCACACAAAGACAAGTAAAAACATACAATTACAAAAGAAAGAAACGAACAAAAAACATAGTTTCACAAAAAAACAAACAAACAACGTACTTCCAGAACAAATTATTTCTTCCACAAGAACAAACACTTTGACACTTTCTTTATACGTATCACAGAGTGGTTGGATCAAAAGACAGAAAAATATCGATTTCTCTGTTCCTCAAGATTTGACAAGCGCCTGATTCCCCAGTGATGACGCATACATGACAAATGCACACATACTTTCACATAAACAAACAAAAACATACAGAATGATACTTCCACATAAACAAACAAAAACATACAGAATGATACTTCCACATAAACAAACAAAAACATACAGAATGATACTTCCACATAAACAAACAAAAACTTACTACCACAAAAACATACTTCTACATTCACAAACAAAAACATACTAGATTCTACCCCAAAATCATATTTCCACATAAACAAATAAATACATAAATCCATGAAAACATACTTCTACATAAACAAAAAACATACTACCACAAAAACATACTTCTACATGATAAGCAAACAAAAAAACATACTTTCACAAAAACAAAAGTCCACCAAGTAAATAAAAAAAGAAAAACAAAAAACTTTATGATAAATAAATAGATAAATCAATAATTAACTAAATATTTCCCACAAAATAATCAACAGATAAAGCACAAAAAACAAGATAACAAAAACAAAAACAAAAATACAAAAAGAAAAACAAAACAAAAACAACAAACATCACATGCACGTACCCGCAAGTGAGACTTGATGCTCTTAAACTGGAAAGACTTCATGGCCAGGCCTGTGATCTCGTACGTGTGGGACGTGTCGAAGTTGCCCGGTTCTGGGGCATCCAGCTCCACCAGCAGGCCATCCTCACACACTACCATCAGCGCAAGTTTTTTCTGGGGACAGGACAACATCTCAGACTTTGGACTATCATCATCATCATCATAATTTTCATCTTACTCCTCCCCATCATCATCATTATCATCATTGTTACTATCATCATCATCATCATCATCGTCATTTTTTGGTAAGCAGGGTAGGAGGGAGAGTCTTGTTTTAATTTTAGACAAAAATAAAATAACAATACATAATGTTTAAATTTATTTAATAGCTCAACGTTTCGCCCTGTGGGCTTCCTCATGAGCAACTCATCATCATCGTCATCATCATCATAATCATCATTGCCTCTTGGGCTTCCTCAGGAGCAAAGTGCATCATCATCATCATCATCATCATCGTCTTCATCTTCATCATCGTTGTTATTGTCAACATCATCATCATCATCATTGTTATTATCAACATGATCATCACCATCATCATCATCATTGTCACTCAATAACCATCCCGTTAATCATCCTCATTATGAACTTAAAAATCACTGACACAATTCTTACCATAACAACCACCACCATCACGGTCACTGTTATAAGTACAATTTTAAAAAGAACATGTGGTGGTGACATGACAATTTGAAGCTCTATGGCATTTTTAACACTTTGCGGTCACTTGGCGCAATAATGCGCCGGTGAAAATTGTCCGTTCCGGTCACCCTGCGTCAGGCCCGAGATGTCCATTGTAGTTGCTCTCCTGGCTTGGTGATCAGATGGGTTATTTTGTACTTCTGCCTGCCTGACAGCAAAGTGTTAAGTGAGTTCATTTTTTTGTCATTGTCATCAACATGAGTACACCTCACAAAAACTCACAAATTTCTCCGGGGTCCACACCAGCTGTCTCACTGGTCCGGGAACTTTGACAAACCCGATGGGGTCGTAAACATCACTGACGTACAGGAAGAAGACGGTTCCATCGGAGCTCTGGGGACGATAATGGGGAAACAATACATGTACGGTTTCGTTGTAAAATTGGGCTCTCCTCAAAATGATGAAGTGAAAGAAACTGACATTTTTTTCCAACTGTTGGGCAATTTTTATTGACTTTATTTTCTTTTCTTTCTATTATATGGGGGGGAGGGGGTCTCTTCACACTTTCATGTTCATTAAAAAATTTATTTCTGTGCGGATCTTATTGAAAACTGTTGATCAAACGTACAAAAAATGAAAATTTGCTGTTTCCAAGGACACTCAAGCTTTGAAAGTTACATGCAGGAGACCTGAGTTCAACTTCTGTCTAGGGAGAATTTCTATCGAGGATCTCAATCTTTCTGCTAGCATGTTGTATCCCTCTACATTAAGGATGATGCTCACAGGCAAAGTCGGAGCCCACCAACTATACAATCTAAATCGTGATGAAGGGAACATAAAACCCCTATATTAACTCCTTATCCCCGGAAGTCCACTCCCTGCAGCTTGCATTCAGAACCTCTGTGCTGGTGAGCAGCTGGCAGTGGCTTGGGAACGTCCCTTTACAATGACTTTGATGTCAAATTACTTTTTGGCAATTGCAGAAAACAGGTCCCTTTTACAGAGAGTTCATTCATTAGATATGAAGAACTATCGAGAGAGGTTCACTTGTTTTGATTTAATTACCAATTTAGTCATGTATATATCACTTTTAGATTTTGTATCAAAAGAGGGACCCTCGTATATTGGGTGTACCCCCCCCCCTCCTCAAGGATAAAGTATTAAAAAGCAAATTTGTTCACAGTATCCTTACCCCAGTGGCCAGAATGTCGCCCTTTCCGTCAAAAGCCATGGCTGTCACACCACCGTTGTGTGGCTTAAAGGCTTGTTTCAGGGCTATCTCCGCCTCGTATTTGTCGTGTTTCCGGGTGTGGTCTTCCTCAGCCTGACCGATGGTCAAGACACGGACGACTCCGTCTCCGAACCCAACAATTACTGAGCTGGCCTTTGGATCCACCTGGGAATAGTAGGCAACGTTTTCTTTTGAGCTTGAGTGTGTGTGTGTGTGTGTGTGTGTGTGTGTGTGTGTATAAACATGCTTTGTAAATACGATTATCCATCATTAAGGAGAAGAGTGATCATCTTAGACAGGTGATCTTCTTGGACAGTTTCATAAAAGAATAGAAAAATAAAAAAGCAAGGGGGGAATGGGATGTGGTTGTTTGTACAAGTGATCATCTTGGAAAAGTGGTTATCAAAGCAGTTCTAACTGTAATTTGAACATACATATTTTTGAACATATGTCTTTCGACACACAATATATTTTAGAACCACATTATTTCACATAAACACACGTATTTTGTATAATATCATTTATGGTACAAATTTTTGGCTTTCGATTTCAATTTGAATATACACATTTTTGCACTCATATGTTTATTGTGTACAAATGTTTTCTCCATTCTTGTTTTTGTTTTTTTATAATGTATATCTCTTTCTTTACACACACATGCACATTTGTAGTACATGATATGAATACATCTATCTCAAAGTTTTTCAGAAATAAAAATAAAACAAGAAAAAAGTAAAAGTTTTAGTTTTAATAAGAGCTTTATGGCCCTTGCAACACAATTAGGTCATATAAGTGCCAAAGATTAGAGGCATTACAAGAGAGTAACATACAAAGAAGACCTGAAGGAGAGATAAGGATGATACACGTTCGAAAGGAAAAAAGGAGAAAAACATACTAGACCACCCACCAACCACCCACAAAAAGTACAAGGCCCTGCCTCATAGACGAAACAAAAAGACTTACTGTCTGCGGCACCCACTGGATGCACGTCCCACCACTGTTGTACTTGACCTTAGCCAACTGCTTCTGCTGTATGTAGTCAAACACACGCACCGTCTCTGCACAGGGAGGATAATTATAATGATAAATCGTCCATTATGAACTCATGGTGACCTTTAACATCCAAAGAAAAAGAGAAGTTATAGACCTTGCTAGGCACTGGGAAAATAATAATGATAGTGAAAGCAACAGTGATATTAAATATTAAAGGAAGAAGAGAAATTATAGACTTGCTAGCTACCAGGATAATAGAAATTATAGTTTCTCCATTATGAAATAATGGACTGCCTTGAGCACACAAAGTTGAACAAACGGGTGGCCAATGTTTGTGTCAAATGTAATCAGGAGAGGGTTAATATTTCTGTTTGTTATTGGAGACAGCATCTCTCCTCGACACTTAACACATACAGAAGATGAAAAAGTAAAAGTAAAGTGAGTAATTGGAGACTGAATGTGTCACTCACTGTCCAAGCCTGTTGTAACGGCCACATGACTGACAGGGGAGGCAACACAGCCTGAGATGGAGCCTGCGTGGTAGGAGAAGAGTTTCTCCGGGGCTTGAGATGTGTGAGAGAACGAGAGATCCAGCTTCCAGATCCCGCCGTTGGCGTCCTGGGAACACAAGGGACGTTGGTGGTCAAGGTCATGTCAGAATTTAAAGTTCACAAGGATTGCAGGAATTTATTGCATTATATTATCCCCTTTAATGAAAGACTAAAAGCATATCACTATTACTCCGGAATCCCACAAATTAAAAAAAAATTATTTGTGAGTCTGCATTCTCCGACCACTGAATCATTTAACGGCTCAATTATAGAGTAAATTTAAAGTGATTATCTGCTCAACATATTATGTTTTCCTTTTTTTGGAAGATTCACATGATTTCACAATAGATCTATTTATCAACTTACAGGTTCATTCCAACTGACAACCTCTGTCTCAAGAGAGACATACAGTGCTGCAACCAGTTAGATGAAAATTGCTGTAGGTAACAAGTTGTGTCACAACATACTGTGAGGTAGCCATTATCAGCAGGGTGAAGAGAAAAAACTAGAGTAAAAGTGCTTTATCAAGGGAAACAACATCCTGCCTGTACAAGTGGTGAAGCCCAAACTTTTCCGTTTAGTTCCAGTAAGAGTTTTATTGTACTTGCAAAAACTCAATAAGGTCATGTAAGTGCCAAAGATTAGAGTTGTTACAAGAGAAAAAACAAACATAAAAAAAGGAGGAAAGATAAGAATGATAGATGTTTAACAGGAAAGAACGAGCACACCAAAGCACCTGTTAACCACCCATCAACATTTTCCTTACAACGTCAAAGTCTTATAATGAGAATAAGACAATTTGTATCAGTAAAGAAAAAACCAACAACGGCCACGTAGGGCTGGGGAAAAGAAAGACAGACAGACAGACAGACAGACAGACAGATAAAGACAACAGAGGAAAAGTAAAGAAACAGAACCTACCAGCAGCACACTCCAACCACCTGCGAGAATAAAAACTTCCTACAGGTCAACACAAAAAGAGATTTATTGTTCAAAGTCCTCACCAGTGACCTAGCTCTGTCACGTACCTGGGCATACCATATGGTGGGCTCGTTCTCCTCGTCCACAGACTTGACAATGCTGTACAGCTGTACGTCACTGGCTACCTTCAGTTCGTTCATCGGATCCATCTCAAATATTCCGGAATCGTCCATGGCGTCAGCAGTGTCGATAGACTCAAAGTCCCAAACCTAACATTGTAAGAGAGAAATAAATTTAGGGTAATTATATCCAAAACAAGAACAAACCAAAAAAAGGAAAGAAAAAAGGAGATGGCACCCCCAAAAAAAGCCATAATATATAGGAATAAAACCCCCAAAAGATAGAATCTGATCAACAACTACAAAAACCAACAACACCAATAATTACTGCTATAATAACAACAGCATCAACAACAATAACAACAACCACAACAACAGCTACAATATTACAGCAGCAGCACAAACAACTACAAGAATACAGAAACAATAACATCAAATACAATAAAAACAAAAACAATAACTGCAAGAAGGGCAAAAAACATAACAACAATAACAACAACAACATCAAATACATATAAACAATAACTACAAGAATGCCAGAAACAATAACAACAACAAAATCAACATCAAATACATAAAACAATAACTACAAGAACAAAAGAAATAACAACAAAAATAACCACAAATACAATCACAATAACTACAAAAAACAACGTGATCACAATAACAACAAAGAGTACAATCGATCGTACCCTGATGCAGCCATCATGGCCGACCGTCATCAACTCCCCTTCGTCGAGAAGAATCTGCATGATGGGTCCCTTGTGACAGGACTTCCTCCCCTTGCGGGTTATCTCCACCTTGATCAGGCCTCCGTCCCACAGCAGCAGATTACCCCACTCACAACCTGACAAAACCTGGACAAAGACAAAAGGAAAGCAAAAATAGAAATATAAAATAATTACATGCTCATAAAGTACATTATCACCTGAGTTATCGGGGAATTTTTCACTACTAATATAATATTCTCTCTCACTGTCTCTCTCTCTCTCTCCTTCTCTCTCTCTCTCTCTCTCTCTCTCTCTCTATCTCTCCTCGCCCTTTTCCTTTCTCCCCCTTTCTCTCTCTTTCTCAACTTTTTCACTCTCTGTTCCCCCCCCCCTCCTTTTCCTCCATCTTTCTCTCTTTTACTTTCTTTTTCTGGTCTTTCTTCTTTTCATTGTGGTGAAATCAGGTGATTGTCAATATAACCAAATTGAAGAAACTGGCATTTTTCCACCTGTTGGGCAATTTTTATTTGATTTTTAAAAAATCCTTTGGACTCGGTACCTTTTCCGTCCTTCTATAAACACCATAAAAAAAGCTCACCTTCCCATCTGGCAACTCCACGTAGCCCTCTATGTCTGAGATTTCAGTTCTGCCGAACCTTCCCAGCTCTCCCTGGAGTTTCAGACCTGTGAAGGTGTCTGCCATCTTCCAGAATCTGAGGACAGAGAGAAGGTCAAATGAACAAGAGAATGAAACGGCTTTATATTGTGGTGTCGGTGGCCTAGTGGTTAGGTTCCTGGACTTGCAACCGTATAGTCATGGGTTTGAATCTCATCAAGGATCCGACGTTGCGTCCTTAGGAAAGTTACTTGACACAAATTTTCCTCACTTGACCCAGGTGGTAATAGGCACCCAGCTATAGACAGTGAAAGATCGTGTCAGTTTGTTAGTGCTTGAGTGCGTAGAAGAATGTTACTGAAAGTTCTAAGGTCTATTGAGGTAATAATTGCTGTGAAGTGTGCATAGAGCATGCTGTACAGCATGGATACGCACTATATAAATACAATTATTGCTATAAAATGGTGAACGGATGGACAGATGAATAACTAAAAAGAAAAATGAATGCAAAAAGAGAACAAAGGATAATATATGGGACTCAAAATATTTTAAAAAATACATGAACTAAAAATAACTTGGAGAAACGAAAGAATGAACGCAAAAATGAATGGCTCATTGAAAAAAAATTACTGAACAACTAAATCAACAACCAACTGAGAGAATCTCACTGGGTTCAATGCCTTTCGTCAAAATGTCAGGTAAACGTTTCAGAATTAAAGTATGGCGAATGAAGTCGTAAACACCTATGCAGCCAATCAACGTTCAAGAATATGAGACTTAAGGCAAAGTCAAGATCAAACTACTAATAACAATGATAATAATTCTATTGCATATCCACGCTGTACAGCACACTCAGTGCGCTTTACCCCAGCAGACCCTAGAATACTCAGAAACATTCTCGGCTTCCCAGGAAGCATACATTACAAGCTGGGGATTTCATACACTGAAACACAAACAACTGACGAGATCTGTCACTGTCTATAGCTAGATACCCATTCCCACCTGGAGTGAAGTGAGGAAAATTCATGTAAAGTGTCTTTCCCAAGGACACAACATTAGGATGGGATTTGAACCCACAACCTTACAGTTATGAGTCTAAGAGGTAAACCACTAGGCCATCACCGCCACTAGAGAACTAACATGTTTGTCATGCTAGGAAAAGAAACAATGTCCTTTAGCTTTCAACATGAATAGTAGATTGTGTCATTTCCCTTCTCTTGAGGTATTCTATCAACAATACAATGTTCACAATAGAGGTTAGATTTTCACATCGCTCAAAAGAAAAGTCTGCTTTGTCATCTATACATATCATATTTGTGAAAGTTCGTCACTTTGGTTGCCTAAAAATCCTGAACCACTTAACTTCGAATTTGAAAAAATGAACGGAGGTTCAGAATCATTTAAAGGGTGCACAGTTATATTAAGGAGTCAAAAGTCAATGCAGTTTAATTTTCAGTTTTTCATTAGTTTCGTTTAATCTCTTTCTCATATTTTCTCTTTCTATTTTCCTCCCCTTTCTTCCATCCTTCTCTCTTAAACTTTTTCCTCTGGTCTTTCTTTTTCTGTTTTTCATCTAAAAACAAAAATCAACAAAAGCCAAGCAAGAACAACAATCCCATCCCCTCCCCCCCCATCCCATTCCTTCCCCCTCCAACCGGAAAAGGATTTTTTTAAAAAAGACTAGTCATTACCATCAGAGGGCAAAAGCACATATGTTTGAAAATAGGCACTCAACAATTTTTGGGCATGTGTAGTTATTGGTATCATCGTAAATCTTGTCAATTTGCCTTACTTTCAATTTAAAAAACCCCCATCTATTTAGTGATTGAAAGAGGTGGGGGTCGCTAGTTTCAGAGGAAAAATTTAGGGAGGAAATAGCCGCCAAAGTTTGGTGACTTCCACAGCTCGTGAGTTCATGAAAACTAAAAATTAACATTTTATGTGCCTTTAATCAACTTTTTTTCCGTAAAATCCACACAGAAATATGGTATACAGAATCGAGAGAAGAGGTAATGAGCAAAAGATAAAAATTTGAAAAAAATTACAAAACGGGAAGAAAAATGACATTTTCCTTGATTTCAGAATTCAGACGAGCACCTGATTTCACCATGATGCCTCACATATCTAAACAAACTGCACGAATCCCCCACCTGATATGTCCAGAGCCAGCGGTGGTCAACTGTCCCTCAAGCTCTGGAGCAAACGACACTCTGTAGACGTCCTGGGAGAAGGACTTTGTCCTCAGAGTGGTCAGCTCCTGCCGCCAGTTCCACACGGTCAACATGAAGTCCGGGTCACCGCCCTGGGAGGCCAGGAGCTCTCCATCAGGGCTGTGGAGAAGAGAAGGTGGGGGGGGGGGGGGGAGGAGGAACAAAGTAGAACAATTGACTTTACTGTTCAAAAGATATGAGAGTCACTTTGTGGCAGTGGTAATAGAAGGAGGAGGAAACGAGGGGGGGAGCAGCAGCAGCAGGAGGAGCAGGATGATGCTCAGTCGGAGGATCCTACACTATTTCTCAAGCGGATGCTCAACGGCAAGAGAACTGGAGGGGGAGGAGGAGGAAGAGGAGGAGGAGGAGGAGGAGAAGAAGAAGAAGAAGAAGAAGAAGAAGAAGAAGAAGAAGAAGAAGAAGAAGAAGAAGAAGAAGAAGAAGAAAAGAGAGGAGGAGGGGGAGAAGAAGAAAAAAAGAAGAAGAGATGCACACACTATAATTCTATCGTATAACGAACATTCCTGTATTTTTACATTTGTAAGACATGGCAGTTGCATTTTCATAGAAGAAATGTTTTAGCCCTGAAAAGGATAGCAATTAAAAGGAGAGTAGGAGGTAAAAGACATCTGAAATTCGGAAGAAGAAAAAATTTTCAAGCTCCAAATCTGCAACTGACCTGAATGTAAGGGAGGTGTAGGATTGCTCGGTGCCACCACGCATGATGCGGTAAAGCTTCAAGGATGGATACTCAAAGATATTGATGTTTGGAGCAGGGCCCTTCTCACCCACGGCAAAGAATTTTCTCGATGGATGGATCTGGAAGGAAGAGTGAACACTGTCATTTTCATTTTGTACACGTACATGCTAACTCTTTACCTCCGTGGGTGGTACACCCTCTATGTCAGGCCCCTTCTTTGATACTAAATCTAAAAATGACAAAAACGTCACTAAATTGGTCATTAAATCAAACCAAGTGAGCCTATTTCGACAGTTCTTGATCTAATGAATGAACTCCTGATAAAAGAGACTTATGTTTAGTAGTTGCCGAAAACGGTTGCCAAACTTTGGTGACTTCCATAGCTTAAGAGTCCTTGGAAACTGCAAATTCACATTTTTTGTGCCTTTAATTAACGTTTTTCAATAAAATCCACACACAAAAGTGTTTCTGAAAGGACATACAAGGTGTTGAGCCAAAAAACAAAAATTTGAAAAAAATTTCCAAACTGGCCGAAAAATGCTGATTTCTCGGATTTCATAATTTTGACGAGCGCCTGATTTCACCACGATGCTTCACAAATGTCTATGACTGGAAAAATCATCTTACACAGATGGCCCCGATACCACAGCCGCTGGTGGAGCGAAGGTACTTCTGATTTCGTGTCTTCAGGTCAAGGATCTGGACCAGGTTTCCCGCAGCAAACACGACCGTGCTCTCATCCATGAGGTGAAGGTTGTTTCTTTTCTTGCAGTCATAGCCGTAAGAATGTCTGTCATAAGGGAACAAAGGAGGATGAAATTGACAGTGTGTTTTCACATGTTTTGGTGACATAAATTTTAATATTATACATACCCCCCCCCCCCCCCCTCTCTTGCTCTCTTTCTGCTTTACTTTATCTTTATTTTTTTCTTACCGTTTCTCTTCATTTCTTTCTCTTACACTTTCTCTCTTTTTACACACACACTCTCTCTCTCTCTCTCTCTCTCTCTCTCTCTCTCTCTCTCTCTCTCTCTCTCTTTCTCCCTCTGTGTGTGTGTGTGTGCATGTGAGTGCATGTAAGCGTGTGTGTGTGCGTGCGTGCGTGCGTGCGTGTGTGTGTGTGTGTGTGTGTGTGTGTGTGTGTGTGTGTGTGTGTGTGTGTGTGTGTGTGTGTGTGTGTGCATTTCTCTCTTTTCTTTGAACTTTGAGTCAGCTACTCCTGACATCAAGACCATGGGGAGAGAGAGGTAGGAGGGGGGCTGGAGGCGGGAAGGGAGAGGAGGAGGAGGGATGAGGAAGGCCATGAAGTAGAAGGGGAAAGATCTGGTTGGAGGAGGGGGGGGAGAGGAGAAGCGGGAAGAAGAAGATGGGGGAGAAAGAGGGGGAGGAGAAGGGGACAGGCAATTGAAGTTGATTTAGTATTTTTAAAATCCATTTTACAAAAATACCTTAAACCACTAGGCACAGCCAGTAGACCGGGTTCTGAGTGAGTCACAGTTAAACTACACACTGCATAAAAATTAAAAGGTACAGTCGTACCTGCCCTAACCACCGCATGTTCAAGACAATCACCTGTTCAAACGATCGCTTCCCACTTCTCTCTATGCCATCTTTCTATATCATAGTGACTTTTCAAGAGACTACCTGTCAAAGATGACCACTTTACTCCTCGACAATTTGTCTTAAATAGATTCAACAGTATCTAAAAAAAGAAATTTAAAAACCACAAAAAAACTACCATCACCACCACCACCAACAACAACATAAACAACAACAACACCAACATCATCGACAGCAACAACAACAACAACAACAACTTTACTCACTGCATCTGCAACAAGTCCTGAGGCAAGCCAGAGTCCTGTGCGACCACTGCCTTGGAAGCAAATTCCTCAAAGTTGTAGTAGAAATCGACAGGAATCTTGTGTTCCTCTTCCTCTTCCTCCTTCTTGACCTTTGACCCATCCTCCCCCTCCTCACCAGTTGCCTCTTGATTCTCTCCTTCCTCCTCTGCCTGTTCTTTTTGTGCTTCCTCTGCTTCTTGTCCTTCTTCTTTCTGTCCATCCGCTTCATCTGCCTCAACCTTTTCTTGAGCCTCCTCTGACTCTTTCTGAGCTTCTGCAGACAAAGAGTGGGATCAGAAAGGATGAGAAGACTGTGCATTTGTTAGTGTGTAAGTGAGAGTAAGAGTGCGTATAAAACTAAGTGAGAGTGCACTTGTGTTTGTGTATGAGAGTGAAAGCAGGTGAGAGTTAAAGTGAATGTGTGTGTGTGTGTGCGTGCGTGCGGGTGTGTGTGTGTGTGTGTGTGTGTGTGTGTATGTGTGTGTGTGTGTGTGTGTGTGTGAGTGTGTTGTGATATGTATGTGAGTATTTGCATGCTTATACATCGTGAAAGTGTGACCATATTCTCAACTGTATTGATTGTATGCATATTGCAAATACTGGGTGACTACATCTCCATAACAGAGTGCATGTGTGTGTGTGAGTGTGTGAGTGTGCATGTAAATGTGTGTGAGTGTGCATGTAAATGTGTGTAAGTGTGCATGTAAATGTGTGTGCTTTTATTAGTGAGTATGAGTACACTTCTTTGTAAGTGGCTGTTTGTGATATCAGTTACATGAGTGTATACCTTTATATGTGCATATGTATGTGAATGTGAATGGGGGCATTTGTATGTTTGTGTGTGTTAATACACAAATAAGAGTACATAAAGACCTAAAACAACAACAACAACAACAACAACAACAACAACAACAAAAACAATAAACCCAAACAGCACAGGGTTTAGGTGTATAGGGATGAACGAGGGGAGTAGGGCACTGAATAAAAAACTGTGTGACATATCACGGCAAACAAAAATCATTTCCTGGAGGATATAAAATCCACCATTATCATAATGGTCATCAATATCATTATCAATACAATTATTTTTTGATCAATATTACATAATTATTGCTTTCATTATCATTACTATTATTGGTATTACCATTATAATCATCATACCTGCGGATGCAGCATCTCCAAAATCTGCATCCCCGACAGCTGCATCTGGAACTTCTGTCAGGTAAACACACAAGATTAGAGTAAATGAGCTGAGTATTTGTGAGGTGTCATGGTGAAATCCGGTGCTTGTCAAAAATAATGAAATCAAATTTTAGCAAATTTTATCAAATGTAAATTTTTTGGCTCAGCATATTTTACGTCCAATGAGAAACACCATTTCTGTGTCAATTTTATATGGGGAAACGTTGATTAACCGCACAAAAAAGTGAATTTTCAGTTTTCAAGAAGTCTCAGACTATGAAAGTCACCAAACTCTGGCTGTTATTTTCTCACTAATTTTACCTCTGAAACCATGTGACCCACACCTCATTCAGTCGCAAATATCTCGACTTCTATTCATGACAGATGGGTATTGTTTAAACCAAAAGCAGTTCGAATGAACAGGCTTTAAGATTATACCAATAACTCCATATGCCCAAAAATTGAAGAGCACCTCATTCCACCATGTTGCGACACATTTGACAAAAGTCAAGAAAACAATCCCCCCATGACCCAATACAAATACCAAGGGTCACCACCCTCAGTATGCGACATTTTGGGTCGTTATTATAAATCTCTCCCTCATTAGTTCTGCAGGTAATTTCTCGTGACACTAGGCTCTACGGTTTTTATTCAAATTATATTACGGTAAGTCTAATAGCATAGTAATTCCCCCCTAGGGCAATACTACAGACTGAAGTGTCTTTAGGCCATACCCAAAGGGGGGATATTAACATGTTCTTATGCACAGTAGAATTGTACATGGGCTGATGTCATGCTCATACTCATACTGTGCCGGAACAACATAGGGGGAACTGCTGCTTTTCCTTTCCTCATCCTTACTATCGTCATTTTTCCACTACTTCTTCTGTATGTTTGTCACTCTCTTGTGAACTGCTATTTCCGCGGTGCCTTGATAGTCGAAGCAGACTTTGTGCTGTTGATTTGTGCTGAAAAATGTTTTCTTATGATTTTATGCCTTTCTTAATCATCCTTAGACAAAATCTAAAGTGTACCTTAAAAGTAAAAGGCACTTTGTGTCTCTCTCAGAACTCTGAGGACTACATATCAGCGCATGATTTACCAGTTAGGCGGTCCACTGTCGCAAGCTGAAGACCCGAGATTGATTCCCGAGTGAGGAGAATTTTTATCAAGTACCTCGGTCTTTCTGCTGGGATGTTGCATCCCTCTCAGCCTAGGTTTGCTCTGACAGGCAGGATTGAAGCTTGCTTTCTAAATGATCGAAATTATGGTGTCAATGGGGGCCTAAAAACACCTTCATAGAAAAACAAAAGCAACAAAGAAAATAATAAGAGAAGAAAAAAAGGATTTTAAAAAATAGAAAAAGAAATAAAAAGCAGAAACAAAATTGAAGAAGGAAAGAAAAGCGGAAAAAAAACCTGGGGGGGGGGGACACTACGCACACTCACTTTGCTCAGCCTCAGCCTGTTGCTCTCCCTCTGCACTAGCCTGTTCCTCAGCACTAGCCTGCTCCTCAGCCGGCTGAGCCTCTGCTACTTGTGCCTCCTCAGTCACTTCCTTCTCACCTTCTGCAACCTCTGCCTGACCTTCTGTCACTTCACTTTGACCTTCTGTAACCTCTGCAGCTTGACCCTCAGCGACCTCCGCCTGACCCTCAGTCACTTCACTCTGACCTTCAGTGACCTCTGCCTGACCTTGCTCTTCACCCTGGCCATCCTGAGCGTCTGGAGCAGCGGCATCTTCAGGCTGGTCTATAGAGAGAGAGATGTCAGGAAATAAAATTTTAATAATGCATAAAATTTCTTACAAATAAAGTTTTTTATGAATAAAGTTTCAAATGCATGTGTGGGAACTCACAACCACCCCCTCCCCCCCAAAAAAAACAACCAAACAAAAAAAACCCTGAGCTGCTACAGTCAGTAACGCTGAAGTTACACAAAGTAACACATTTCAAAGGAACAAAACTTAGTTCCAGTCAGGTAATTTGTTTCAGAAGCATTTAATGGCACTTGCAAAACAATTAGGTCATATAAGTGCTGAAGATTAGAGGTGTTACAAGATAGTAACAAACATGAAAAAGAAGGAAAAGAGATAAGGACGATAGTTGTTTGATAGGAAAGAAGGAGTAAACCACATCAGAGCACCCACCAACCACCCACATCAGGTAACTGAGTTAAGAAGAAACATATCAAGAAAAAGAAGAAAAATAATTTAAAGCACCCCTTGGATAAGATTACTGCAAAAATTAGATAATAGGGAAAGTCCCAGAAGTATATATTAGAATCATAAATATAGAAATAAAACTACCCAATATTTGAATGTAGATGTAAGTTTGATTTGAGCTAAGTTGGATAGACTTGACTTGCAATATCCTAGACCATGCAAGGTCATGGCCACCACTCTCTGATTTCTACAAAAAAACACCTTGTTGTGAAGTATGCACACTACAAACATCCAAATGCAAGGAAACAACGACACACTTGCTACTGTTGAGTAAGTGTGGCATCTTTCCCCCCTTGCCCTTGATTTGGCTTCAAACTGAATTAAATTTTATGGTGAGCTCCATTGTAATCCTGAATATTACTTACAATACACTGCCCAAGACACTCAGAGGTCTAAGACAACCAATTTTCTCCTAAACAATGGATGGCTGTCTTGGACAACTTCGCCGGCGCTTGAGTCAAGTAGTTTTCTCATTAAGTACGGGTGTGAATGGTTGTTAGATCAAAAACAGCAAACACAACATAATTTGCAAAAGTTAAGTAATGGATATAAACGTGCATCTACCAGTCAAATAATAAATTTTACACAAAAACTTTTGAGAACACAATCATGCATGGCTGTTTGAGACTTGACAGTTGATCTTAAAGCAGCATGCATGATACAACTTTGCCTAGGTGGTAGACATAGAGGAAGCAGATTGCCCAAGTACTACTACTCTCCATTCAGCAGATCTTGACTTCTTTGATATGCTCCAAAGAGCATGAGTACTAAAAATGGAATTATCAGAAAACTGTGGTGAAGTAATTCTCCAAAACGGACAGTTTATGGCCTTGACGAGAAAACTTTCTGTATGCTCATGTTTACATGGGATCTCTTTTATTTTCTTTTTTTTTCATAATGTGTGTCTAGGTGTGTGTATGTGTGTGCCGGGGGGGGGGGGGGGGGGGCAGTTAAAGTATTATTAGCTATTATTAGCTAGACAACCATACAGTTTTTCTTTTAATTTTTTCAATTTTGGTCAAAGTGACTATTTAGAAAACAAATTATAGGTAAATGCCATTCATAACTAGACTATGATAAAGATAAATAAAGTTAATGTGTTATTTACATTTACCATGATCACCTTCATTCTCTTTCTGAAACTGGCCTGTTATGATGATATAACAAACTAGCAAATAGCTTCTACAGAGTAAAGAACAACCAAATCTGCCTCTTGTTTCCTGCCCTATTCCACACTCTATCTTATTGCATTTTGTCTAGAAAAGAGAATAACAATAATAAAGAAAAGAAATTCTAAAGAAAATCTTACTGGTTTGCGTCATGGGTGGTGAGACTTCATCACTGAAATCCTGACCAGCCGTTTCACCTTCCGAGGTGACCTCCTGGCCCTCAACTTGTTCTGCATCACCTTCTGCAGTCACCTCCTGACTTTCCATTTGTTGTGCATCAACTTCTATATTGAGTTCCTGACTTTCTACTTTTTGCACATCACCTTCTGGTGTCAACTCTTGGCTTTCTACTTGTGCATCACCTTCAGTAATCACCTCCTGACTTTCAACTTGTTCTGCATTACCTTCAGTAATCAACTCCTGGCTTTCAATTTGTTGTGTATCACCTTCAGTAATCAACTCCTGACTTTCAACTTGTTGTGCATCACCTTCAGTAATTAGCTCCTGGCTTTCAACTTGTTGTTCATCACCTTCAGTAATCACCTCATGACTTTCAACTTGTTGTGCATCACCTTCAGTAATTAGCTCCTGGCTTTCAACTTGTTGTTCATCACCTTCAGTAATCACCTCATGACTTTCAACTTGTTGTGCATCACCTTCAGTAATTAGCTCCTGGCTTTCAACTTGTTGGCTGGTATCACCCTCAGGAGCCACCTCCTGACCTTCACCATGTTCTGCCTCACCTTCCTTCACCTCATCACTCACAACCTCCTCACCAACGACATTTTGTTCAGCCTTATTTTCATCCAACTCTTCTCCCTTTTGTTCTTCTTCCTGACTCTCTCCCTCCTTCTGTTCTTCTTCCTGTTCTTCTCCCACCTTTTGTTCTTCTTCCTGTTTTTCTCCCACCTTTTGTTCTTCTTCCTGTTCTCCCACCTTTTGTTCTTCTTCCTGTTCTTCTCCCACCTTTTGTTGTTCTTCTTGACTCTTTCCCTCTTTCTGTTCTTCCTCCTGCATCTCCCCTGCCTTCGGTTCTTCATCTAACACCTCTTGCGCTAGCCCTTCTTTGTCAACCACATTTTGACTTTCACCGTCTTCTTCTTCTTGTTCATCCACAACCTCAAGCAGTTCATCTGATTTTTTTTCGCTTTCCACCTGACCACCTTCATTTTCATTATCATCTTCAAGGTCCTCAGTCGTAGCTTCGACCTTTTGGTCCTGTTTAGGTTCATCTGCTGATGCAAGGGTTTCATGGAGCACGATAAAGCAGACATCAAACAGTGAAACACTTTGGCAAACAACACGTGGCGATCTGGCAAATGTGTGCGAGCAAAAGGAAAAGTGTTCAAGAGATTGTAAGACCTGTCTGAAGACAAAAGTACTTACAAACAAACAAATTTTTTCACTTTATTCTTTTTTTAATTCACTCTTTTCAGTCTTAAAACAACATCAGATTGGATGCAAGAGATGGACTATGATGAAGTAAGTAAAATAAATTGGTTCGATGACTTTTAAATACATCTGAGAAATTAAACATTATTAATCTTTGCTTACAAGATTAAGACACTTTTCTGCCTGCTGCACACTAATATAGTAGGCTATTAATGGATGACAACAAGAACAATGTCCAAGATTCATCTTTGGATGAAGTTAACACCTTTTTTTTTTAGTTTCAGACGTTTTGTTTTTGCCTACATTAATTTTTTTTTACTTATCATTATTTTGCATACTGAAAGGGTTTTTAAAACTTTTTTAGGAACAAAATGTCATTACACATTTTTTAAGGACGATGAAGAATAATGTAAACAATAAATTGAGAGGCAAAAAGTATTCCACACACTTTGTGATATATTATTACCAACAAATTGAATCAGAAAGGACGTAATCTGTTCTGGTAGTCATCCTCTGACATACAAATAATATGTAGTGGTCTGGGAAAACCATGAGGCACATTAAATTGTTTTGGTTTTTTCAAATTTTTACTTTTTTAACTGACACTGTCATAAATATAACAAATCTTCCATTTCTGTGGATGCTGCTGTTTATGTCTTTAGAATATCTCCATTTTTACTAAGTCACACGATCTATCTAAAAAGGAACTTTGTGAAGAACAAGCTGTGAAGGACACAATTAAAGGGAGGCAATCATTTCAAGGACATTCTGGGCCAATTATTGTTCTTAAGTGATACAAGCTTTTACATCGAACAATAGAATCTTTAATTTTTACAGAAAACGGTATGGGTCTATTATTAGTTGGGAAAACTCCCACAGCAAGCAAAATCCTAATACATTATTTTTTAGGACAATTTAAACTGACATATTTTTTTATTTTCACTGATTTCATCAGCCTAGAACATCAAAGAGTGTCTTATAAAAAAACCCTGAAAGACTAGTTAGTTTCGTTTTGTTTTTGCTTTTGGCATTATAATAACACTTTTCAGATGGAAAATAAAAGAAAGAAATGATAATAATTTTACTTTAAATTCAGTTTTCCCAATCTACTACATAATACTGAAAAGCAACCATTAAACGACAATGCATTTGGCTTCACCACAGCTAACAAACAGTAAACACAATAGCAATTAAACAACACCAATCTTTGAAAAAATATATACTTGCTAAAAACACAGTGTGCTGCAAACAAACACCCACTGACAATAATAAAGGGTTTGATAGGGAGACCTGAATATGGGTCATTTCAGTTTGATGATGAAAGAAAAATTCAAGATAATGCCAAACTGTTTAAAAGAATAATATCAGAAAAAGTAAGTCAGTGTACTCCAGACGTCTTTTTCATTACTTTCGCATTGTACCTGATTTAATTATTAGTCAACGTTTCGTGTTTAAAAGAAAAAAAAAATTTATGGCAAAATTTTTAATATTATGGATCAAGAATGCAGTGAAAAACTTTTTTCATATACAGTTGGCAAAATTATGTATACAATTTATTTCTACATCTTGTTCAAACTTCAAAGTATGAATAAGAAAAATAAATTTGTATTTTATTTTCTTCAACAAATGAATTTGTTTAGGACTTTACAGCAAGCATTGCCTTTCACTAAAGTAAAAAATGGAAGTGAGGGGAAGGGGGTGGGGGTTAGGAGGAGGGAGAATGAACATGCTAGCAAGTAGATTCAGTGTCAAAATTACAATTAGTCATACATTAAGCAACATATTTCATGATGCAATCATTCACATTTTCCCTCTACATACACTTTCCGCTGACGTAAGAAAAGTTTCAGTTGAGAAAAGGAATCAACAAGCTGCATCACAGGTGAATAATAATAATAATACTAATAATAATAATAATAATAAATTACTACTATTACTATTATTATTATTATTATATTATTATCATTATTATTATTATCATTATTATTATTATTAAAAAGATCGTGTGGATGGTTTGAGGGCACTGCTGGTAGTTTCCCTCTGTTGTTTCTGTCTGTCTGTCTTACTTTTTCCCTGCGCTAAAAGACCATTAATGCGTCAATGTGCTTCTTTTTACTCAAACAAAAAAAAAACCAAACAGCTAAAGATCACTTCTATAGCACCTACTCCCTGGCAGCTCTTGGTGATTCACAATAAAATAAGAGTGAATCAAATGAAGATGTTTGTAAAGTTATTCTAATTCTCCTCTTTCATACTGACAGAAAAAGCTTTCTAGACGTAATTATTATATAGTGCCCACAAATGGCCATTGAGCAGGATATCAAACAATATGGCAAAATGTAGTAACCTCAGCGAGCTGACTGTTCCCTCTGACCCTGTTCTTACTTCAGCGGATGTCACCAACTGTGCATACAGCGAACACAACACCAAACTGTGAGGATTATGGTCGTGACACGTCACCACAAAAAAAAAATCATACCTGGGGCATCAGTAGTCGGAGCTTCACTAGGGGGAGCCACCTCCTCTGACTGTTCAGCTGGGGCAGCTGCTGTTGTCTCTTCTGTAAGCAGATTTATGTTTAACCCTCTTAGCACCATAAATAGGTCAGCAGGTCAGCACAGCAAAACCAAACATGGCAGCTGCAGTTGGCTTCGCAGAACCAAATTATTTCAGTGTTTTTCAGAGGTTTAGATGCTGTAGCAAAGAAATTGCTTTCGTTTTTTTACCTCAACGACATATTTCAATGAAATTTAATATACAAAGACCTAGGACTTAAACATCTAAATTTAGAGTGGAGTGTTTTTATTTCTAAGCCTGCACTAAAGGCAGGTGCGTCAGGCTGGTAAAAGCCGGTATTGCTCTACAACGGGTAGGTCGGCAAAAGTCAGTACAGCAACATGGTTGGGAAGGCCACTTTAGCTCAAAAAGGGTTAATAATAATTTACTAATACCATGCTGTCAAAATTTAAAATAAGTTGAGATAAGATATATGACTAAAAACATAAAACATGATGAGGTGACAAATGAGATGAGACAAAATGAAATGAGAATATTATGGTAAGAAAGTTATAAGACAAAGCAAGACAAGATGAGGTGAGAAAGATGAGAGTTATCAGGAATGAGATAGACTGAAACAGATAATAGAGACACCAGAAAGATTTGTTTTTTCAACTGCCTAGATCTAGATACTGCATCATCTTAAAAATATGTCAGATTCTGCATATTATCCTTTGCATGAAATTTGGTAGTCTGTCACATTGCCTCTGTCTGCCAATCTATGATCCTGTTTTTTCTCTCTCTATTATTGTTCCCCCTCTCTCTCTCTCTCTCTCTCTCTCTCTCTCTCTCTCTCTCTCTCTCTCTCTCTCTCTCTCTCTCTCTCTCTCCCCCTCCCCTCACCTCGCCTCACTCACTCACTATTTGTCTGTCTGTCTGTCTGTCTGTCTGTCTGTCTGTCTGTCTGTCTGTCTGTCTGTCTGTCTGTATGTCTCTCACTCTCTCACATACACACAGACATATTATACACCCAAGCACACCTACAGACACACACACACACACACATACAAACACACACACACACACACACACACCATGAACATACATTTTTCGTTATACCTTTTGACCATGATCTGATAATTCAGAACACACAAACGAAAACTTATGTCAGACAATTTGGTCTGATGTGATCTGCAAAGTGCAAACAGTGAGGGAAAAGTTAACTTAAACAGCATCAGAAAAGTTGTTTGAGACTTAAATCAAAATTGAAATTTCCAACCTGGTAAAAGGGCAACTAAATTATGTTAAGAATAGAGAGAAGAAAAGTAATTCATTTTTTCCTAAATTGGGGTTGGTGGTGTAATTTTTGTCTGAAAACCTGTGGGAGAAGGGTAACTTATTTTCATCTCAAAACTCAACCTGTTGTGCTTTTGAGGGTGGGGTGGGGGGGGGGGGGGAGTGGAATGGGGAGGCTTTGTTGTCTAAAAACTTCTTTGGGACTAAGTAACTTGAAGCCAAGCACTTGAATTAATTTTTCTTATGAACAAAGGGATTAGAATTTTCCACAGGGATCAATAGAACTTTATTTTTGTAGAGTGAATTCTTTTCAAGTACTACAAGCTACAAGCGACCTATTATTTTCAATAAAAAATCAGGATAAGTGGTTCGAAGTAGATTTTGTGGACTGGCATTTTGATATGACTATTATCGTACCTCGGTGGACAGAACCGCGTTGCAGCTACAAATACTTGTAGCTCGGGTTCAATGGGTTAAGATTTATTTAAGTTTTCATTTCTATTTGACAAATCTAAAGTAATCATTTCAACTTTCTGCTACACTAGACCCAGCAGAGCAACGTCAAAACATTATGAGAATTTTACATAAAACTTATATTTTCCTTGCACATAAATATGTCACTGATCATAATATAATGTGTATATTCACCAAAAGGAAAGAAGCACAATAAAAGCGTGGAAACGAAAAAAAATACACTTACCCTGCTGCGATTCTCCTAAGGGAGGGGCTACTTCTGCTGCTTGTCCTGCAGCAAAATAACATAAATATTACTCCTAAGGGATCCCTCGATCATTCCTGAAATTGTAGGGTGCAACTACAGTTGAACCTGTGTAAGACAGCTACCCATTAACAAGAAGAAAATGGCTGCCTTAGACAGGCGGTAGTCTTAGGCCGCTGTAAGGCTAATGAATGGGGGTTTTTTTCTTTTGAAACGGGGTGTTTGGGTGTGTGTGTGTGAGTGTGTGTGTGAGTGTGTGTGTGTGTGTGTGTGTGTGTGTGTGTGTGTGTGTGTGTGTGTGTGTGTGTGTGTGTGTGTGTGTGTGTGTGTGTGTGTGTGTGTGTGTATGTGTGTATTTTAAAAACTCACTCACCGCCATTGTCGAACCTGTGTCTGTCAATAGGCAACGACCGCTCACCGTCCCTACTGCACCCCTGTCGGTCGCGTATTTTCCTCTTTATTTCTACTAATTGCCGACTCATACACAACAACGGCATAACCCAATTACTAAAGTAACATCCCTTTGACCACTCAGAGCAGTTTCACTTTATTCGAATGATTTCCCTTGAAGTACTGCCTATTTTTGGAACGGGAGTTTTCTTTGTCCTATTTCTGGGTGGTTTTTTTTAACGTCGGGCGGCCGAAGTCGACCAAAAGTTCATGCCGATATGAGTTGAAAACGGCTAGTAATTTTTGAGATTCTGAATCCATTATGATTCAATGAACTCAGATTCAGATGATGAAGTGCAAAATAATGGTAGGGATGTTCTGTAAAAAGCTCAGTATCTCTTTACCGAAACTAGCCAATTTTCATAAATAAATCGGTGCGTTTTCGTAGTTGCCAACCCCCTTATTTGAGCCTAGATCTACATCTAGAGTCTAGATCTATACGTTTGATGCGTGGCGAGCTAAGAATATCAAACCTAAAAACTGCAAAACATCAAATTATGGTAAAATCAGGGGGCATGCTCCCCTGAAACCCCCACCTTATTTTTATAGCACCCCTGAAACCCCCATACTCTTGGGGCCAAAACTCGCGAATAACAATTGCGGGGTGGGAATTACAACTGAAAAAGCTCCAGCGGCAATAAATCTAGCCAGGCGCTATTTGCAACGCCGCGTTCTGAATAGCTCCCGTGCTATTTGAAACGCAAATACTAGAATCTAGATCTAGATCTAGCAGCCATCGTTTCTACATAATAATATTGTAGTTCTGCCTGAATTGTGGAAGCTTTCTCAGGTTTTTTATAAACCTCCTAGGATTTGACTCCTTTTTTAATTCCGGTCCCGGAAGGTTCTTTTTTTCCTTCTCCTGAGCCTAAAATAAAAATTTTTTAAAAATTAGAGTCACAGACCAAGGAAAGCCACTGTTGAACTTTAATCAGGCCTAAATTGGTAAAAGGAAAAGTTTACGCTATACTAAGGCATACTTTGTACAGGTCGAGCTCCTCTTGGGGACAAAACCAGAATGTGCATGCTTCATCACTACATAAAAAACTACAAAGCAGCAAGTTATAATTATGGGAAAAATGTGTTGGTCAGTCGAGAAGAGGACAACAACAACAACAAACAAACCCCCCCCCCCCAAAAAAAAAAAAAAAAAAAAACCCAAAAAAAAACCGTCCAGGACCGGGATCGAACCCATGCTAAAAAAGTAATGGTTTGACTTCAAACGCAGACGCGCTGTCACTTCAGCCATCAGAACTTCCGATAACGAAGTGCAGGTTAAACTTAATATTTTACACACGGCGACACGGCGTTTTATTTAGCACTGGCGCTAATCGCAACGCTGTCTTTTATTTAGCACTGGCACTAATGGCAACGCGGCGTTGCAAATAGGCACTTCCATAAATCTAACATAAATAGGAAGGCCTACAGAGTAACTGGATTTTTAAAAAGGTAGAAAAAGCCATAACAAGCATTACTTGCATAAGGTTATAAATTTGTTTCGGCACTGACACAGGTTTGAAAATATGGCCTACAATAGCATAGCTATTATGTGCGCAGCTTGTTTAACTTGTATATATGTTGTTCACCAACGATTAATACTCTCACAAAAAAAACAACAGATTTAAACAGATCTACGCCATTTATGTAATCTCTCAGAAAATACTTGTCTATCCAATCCAAACAAAACACGATTATGACCGTGAGGAGAGGTGAGACAAAAGTCACAAAATACAAAAAAAAAAGTAACAGTAAGTAAAAGGGCAATTTTGTAGTTCGTTCGTTAAAGTCAAGATAAGAATATGGAGGGGGGGGGGGGGGGGTTGAGGGGGCATGTCCCCCCTGAATTTTATCCTAATTTGATGTTTTGCAGTTAGGTTGCATCCCTGCTCTTTATGTAGCCTATTTCAAATAGTATTTGGTCATCAAGACTTCTGGATTTCTTCTCTGGATGTAAACAAATGGATCGTGGACTTTAACGAACGGAACTACAAGAAAGGTTTGAATTGGCACCCTGTCATTGAAACATATTGGTGATATCGCTGTTTAAAATACATGTCAAATACTTTGCACCATTTTTTTGACCTTACCGCTTTCATCTTGCGGCTTTTCTTCTGCCGGAGCAGTGTTCTGGTTGTCGTCACCATCCATCTTGATTTAGACGATGTTGCCAAGGAAGCATGAGGACTGCGCCTGCGCGAGGGAAAGAGGGGACCTAACCCTCGACACCGAGCTCGTCTTTTGCCGTGTTCACGAGTTTCACTAAAAACTATCGGTACTAAATTATAATATTATATAAAGGTTACCGGGATCATTCTGAGTTATTTCTTTTAAAGCCTAGGACAGCAAACGTTTTTAAAAATATCTACAGGAATTTGCTTTTTACCTGTTTTTACTCAATCATTTGTTTCACATTATAGTACTTTAATAGAAAAGAGCCTGGTGAGATCTATATGTCTATGGCAAGACCAGCAGGCTCCATGCAATTTGATGGACTCCAAACAAAACAGTAAAAACTGATGTCAGTAGGCCTATCTGGGAATTTAAAAAACAGTAAATTTTACATATATCCCGATTTCAAGTTAATTTTATCTTGGGAGGAGAGCAATAATGCCACACAAGAGAGGCTGGCTTATTTTCACATTTGAGCATAATCAAATGTAGCCTAGAGGAAAAAGAAACATTTAGTTTGTTTGGAGTATAGGTATACTTAAGTGGGATACAGTCAAAGAAAAAAACTTAAATAGGTCTACATATAATATAGCCTAATATAAAGGCCTACCTATTGGCCTATAAATTATATACACACACAGAGAGAGGCAGAGCGAGGGAGAGAGAGAGGAGGGGGTGAGAGAGAGAGAGAAAGAGAGAGAGAGAGAGGGAGAGAGAGAGAGAGAGAGAGAGAGAGAGAGAGAGAGAGAGAGAGAGAGATTTTGTAAGTGTTTTGCGGTGCTCGCTTAACTGCATAATGTCATAATATGAGCGTGCGGGACACGTTAAACATTTTCAGTTGGTTGGAAATTTTGAATTTTGCCCGGGTGGTAGCCGAAGCCTAATCTGATCAATTTTAGACCACCAAGGGATCTTTAACGTGCATAACTTGCACACGGGACGTCCGAGATTTTTCGCTCCTTTCCGAGAAGGCTAGAAGAAGATCTTTCCTACCAGAAGATCAGGGGTGTGGCTGAAAGACGCAGAAGTAAGAATGAGCCAAGGAGTAGAGGAGGAAAGGCTGTAGAAAGAGTCAGGAGCCCAGAGGAGGGGGGCAAAGGAGGTGAGGGGGTGATGGCAGAGAGTGGAGACGAAAGCAGACGACAGGACATTGCTAGAGAGGAGGAATGACAATTTTATAGAAGAAAAATTTTTCGTTGCAACCCGGATTCGAATCCGGGAGCTTTGAATGAGAGGCGAACACCTTTTAACCTCTAGGCCACGAGAGCCCCTGAGAGAGAATTGTCGAACCTGTGTCTGTCAATAGGCAACGACCGCTCA